ACCACACCACAATCGTAGAAAAGCAATTTAATGAAGATTTTAGGAGAGAGCAAAAAAAAAAAAAAAAATTTTTTTTCGACAAATCAACGCGTTTCGAATTCTCCAAGACGAGCACGCACACACACACACACACACAACAAACAAACGAACAAAAAATGGTAATAGTAAAAAAAAAAAACTTACCTTTGTTTGTGATTTGAAGAGGAACCGAATTAATTTTTTTAGATGTAAAAAATTCAAGTAGAAAAACGAATACTATAACATTTAGTTGCATTGTCTAAGCCGACTCCCGCTCGCGGTACTCTCGAGTACCTCTATCTCCGTACCGGGTTCAATGGTACTTGGTTACATAGAGTACTGTTTCTATTATTATTATTATTATTATTATTATTATTTTTCCGTGTGCGTTTGCGAGAGATGAGAATCTTGATGAGTGCCGCGGCGAATCTACGATTCTCTTTATTCTTTCCTGTTTTTCTTACAATTCTTTTTTATTTTCATTTTATATTTCTCTGAAAACAAAAACAAAACAATAATATTAATAATAATAATAATAATAATAATAATAATAATAATAATAATAATAATAATAATAATAATTAATTAAATTAAATAAAATTAATAAATTTTTTTCTTTTTTCGGATCATTCACACCATCATTAAATACAAATAAAATTACAACACGTTAATTGGCAAAAGAAAAAAAATGTAAATGAAATTGACGGAAATTCGGTGAAAAAAAAATGAATGTAAAGAATGTGTGTACTGTACACACGCACACTTACGCACACGCACACTTACGCACACGCACACTTACCACACACACACACGCACACTAAAAAAAACCACAAAAAATTCAAACTGGAAAATTGAACATTATGCAAATTTACTCTTTTTATTTTTTTAATATTTTCTCACACGTTTAAATCCAGGACGACTTATTAACGTTGAGTAACTAATAATAATAATAATAATAATAATAATAATAATAATAATAAAACAATTTTATTTATTCATTTTACCCTTAAGCAAAATTCCCCAATTCGAAAAAAAACCCGAAAAACCGAAAACAAATTATTTATTTATGCCAAATTTCCCCCCCCCCTTTTTTTTTTAATAAATACATAAATAAATAATTTAATTTTCTATCCACTCCCTGTATAATTTAATAAAAAAATTATTGATACATAATAAATTCCGATGTATTTTCACAAAAAAAAAAAACTAGTACATACAAAAATAATTCTTCTCATTTCTTTTTCTTTCTTTCTTTTTCTTTTTTTTTTATAATTTTAAATTAACGGACAATCTATGGGCATCATCATCATCATCATCATCATCATCATGACGAGACTAACTGTTGTTTAAAAAGGTAAAAAATTTAGATTTTAAATCATATCGCGCTCGCTAATAATAACAAATCGTGATGAATTCTCAACGAATTACCATTATTATTATTATTTTAAGGAATTATTCACTTTACTTATTTATTTATTTTCTTATTATTAAACTCTAATTATGTAAAATTTATTCTTGACATACTTTATACGTTACATACGACGTTTCGACATTTAAATCTTTTCTTTTTTTTTTTTTTTTTTTTTTTTTACGAACGCCAAACTATTAACGACGAATTTTTGATTTATTTTATACCAAAAAAAAAAAAAACGATTATTATTATTATTATTATTATTATTATTATTATTATTATTATTATTATTAATGTAAAATATATTAAAAAAATATTTAGTCGTGTTGTTAAGAAACTTTACAATGCATTTAACAACAACAACAACAATTTACATTTAAAGAACAAAGGGGTTATTATTATTATTATTATTATTATTTTTTGCTTAAAATTCGATTGACCTCAAGTACCTAATATAAGTTAACTTATTTTCAAGGTCCCTGACATAATTTTTGCGGGGGGGGGAGGGGAGGAATAAAAAAATTATTAACGTAAGAGAGGAGGAGTATTTAACACACACACGTACGACTCAAAAATTTTTTTAAAAAATTAGAGGTAAAACATTATTATTATTATTTTTACGTTTTGTGAATGAGTTAGTAATGTGTCCTACATTTTGTAAACATAAACATAAAATGTTTACCCCACGTTATGGTGGTCCCAACGGGGGGGCGACCTTGTCCAAAAATATGCGTTTATTATTGAAACACACACACACACACGTAATGTCGATATGATACATATACACACACCAGTACGATTTACCACCTATTCGAGGTTATTAATTAAACCAATGATCCAGTTTTTAATTTATTATTACTATTATTATTATTATTATTATTATTATTATTATTACTACGTGCACGATGTAGTGTATGAATAGGTGTTATGTGATAAGAGTAAATGTATTATTTGTCGATCGTATCGACGTTTTTTTTTTTTTTTTGAATTGGCCAAACAGGAGTACTTACTACGAAAATTGTATTCTCGTTCTCTATTTCTCCAATTCGTTTGTTTGTTTGTTTGTTTGTTTGTTTTTGACTTTCTCGTTAATGACAAAAAAAAAAAAAAAATTAGTTATAAAACTTTAAAGTTAAAGTTAAAATTAAAGTTTTTATTTTACACTTTTCTCTTTCTTTTAACGGTTAAATTTTATTCCTAATACAGTTTTATATAACTGCACACCTTCTTCGAGTTGACGAGTAATTAACACATCTTTATAACTCTTTTTAATTAATAATTTACAAAAAAAAAAATTTTTTTTTTTTTTTACATTCTAATCGGTTTATAAGGTACATACGGTGTACCTTTTCAAGGTAGTTGTAATTAATTTTCATGTAAGTTCAACGGAAAAAAACTTATTTAACGACTTGTGTGTGTATATGTATAAAAGACATTCAATTATATGAATCACCTTTTCAAATGTAGACATTACGTAGGTTTTTTTAAATTTTTTTTTTTTTTATTTTTTTTTTATTGCGAGCTACAAACCAAAAAAGTAAAATTATCATCATCATCATTATCATTATTATTATTACAATCCAAAAAAAAAACGAGTATTTTATATTTAAAAAATTATAAAAAATAAATTTTTTTTTATTTCATTCATTTGTCTTTCCTTTCCTTCCATTTTTATTTAAACATTAAGAAATGTTTAAATGTTTTTTAAACTTGACACGATTATTACTTTTTTACATGAATAAATAAATAAATAAATAAATAAAATAATAATAATAATAATGATGATAATAACTGTAATAAATTTTGTAACTGTTAAGTAATATATACATTTCTTTTAGGCATGAGAGACATTCAATATATATATATACGTTATAACAAATTGCCAACTTAAAGGTTTTTTTTTTTTTTTTAAAGATTTACCGAGGTTAAGTGCGTGTGCGTGTGTGCGTGTAAATAAACGTAGCAGAAGATATAATAATAAAGTGTAATTAAATAGTAAAAAAAAATAGACATAACTTACAAATGAAATATTTATAAGGTGTTAGTCAGCTGATGATTTCCCTTTCACAAATGTTTGAAAAAAGACGTTTTGCACCTTTGACTAGGAAAAACCTTGTGACTAACCACGTCTGAATGTCATACATATCAATTTTTTTTTTTTTTAAATTAAATATATTTTACTTTAAATCAAAATTATTTTTTGTAAAAAAACAATCAATTCAACTTTAGACATTAGAGATTTTATATTATTGCACTTTAAGATTATTGACACACATTTATATGACATTAAAAAAACACTACAACACTTTTAATATATAAGAGACGCGGAATAATATTTAAAACATTTGAACCGAACAAAAGAAAATTAATTATTATTAATAATAATAACTTATTTATTTATTAATAATTATTTATTATTATTAAAAACGCGAATTCGATATAGAATATTTAAACTCGCAAAAAAAAAAATGAGATAATTATGAAAAACTAGGAGGGATGTAATTCGGATTTGAAAAAATTCTAACGGTTTGCGTTCTCGAATGCAGACGATATTCTCGGGTACTGAATTCTATTCTCTTTTTTTTTTTTTTAAGTTCAAACAATCGAGTTTTTAAAAAATATTTTTTTTTTATGTTTATCTTACGTAAAAAATTACTTGCGCAAAAACTTACCAAAACTTGTTCACCTTTCAATGATTCCTCAACCGCCTCTTTATATTTAATTATCTTTAGCTTATGGTGAAGAAGTAAAACCTGGAAAACTGGAGTCCATGATTGTGTTCTTATTCGACGGTCCGCACGAGAGACACCTACCTTCAACTTTCCTAATTAAATATCATGCAACATTAATATTATTATTATTATTATTAAATATTTATTTTATATTTTACTATAAAAATTAACAAAATTATATTATTAAATCGAATAAAAATATATTTAACTGATTATTTATCACAGATTTTATTTCACTACACTTTTTTTTTAAGTCGAAATCTTTTTTAAAAATTAAAAAAACTTCCCGGGTCAAATTATGTAAGAATGACTGCATTGTCGAAATTTTTCGTTACGTTTAATGTTAAAATGTCAAAAGGTATATTTACATAAATAAAAAAATTTATATTAAAAATATTTCCGAATTTTCTTCTGTTTTTTTTTTTTCTTTTTTAATTAATAGTTATATAATATTTTTAATAAAATTGAAATTTTAATTTCACCTAATAAATATAATAATAATAATAATAATAGTTATTGATTCATTTTATTGTCGAATAAACTCTCTCTCAAATATTTTATTACAAATTCGAGTTAATTTTATTTAATGATTCATTTAAAATTCTTTTAGATAGCAAAATGTAATTCAGGTTACAATTCCTTTTTTTTTTTTTTTTTCCAATAAAAAATCATTTATTGCTTTGTAATACGAATGTAAATTTAAAACCCAAATAAAAAAAATTTTATTCAAAGGTGTACTACTGAATGATTAAAAAACAAAAGGCATTATTTAAAGTGATATTTGATGATGGCTAATTATGTAAAAAATATATTCTGTAAATGAGTTAATTATAACATATTTACAAGTTGACAACAACGGGTAAATCTTCTTCCTCGTCTTTGAGAATATCGCTGAAATCCCAAAGCCACTTTTTTGTCAAAAATTCTTGAAATCTTTCACCTTTAGCTTTTAATCTACCATTTGCATCACTAGAGTGTAAATTTCTAAAAAATATCCTCAAGTTTCTATAAACAAAATTATTACCTTCGACAATATCGACTAAAAAATCTTCTTGAATTTCTTGAAGTTGATATGTTAATACTGTAATAAATTTTGTAAATACATCTGAATTTTCCGATATGGCATTATCGCATGAACACATTATTCCTATTAATTTTTTCCAATGTTCGAATGCTTCAAAATTGCATCCCAATAAAAAACATACATAAGCTAATTGTATTTCTCCTAATATGTCATTACAACTAAAAATTTTTAAATAAATTTAAACTAAAAAAATAATAAAATGTTAATTAAATAAAATTTATACATACTTGTCATGTTGTAATAATAATTGTTTTAACAAGTAACTGGAATCAAGGCTGTGTTTAGTTATTTCACTGGGAGTTGAATTATCCGGATAACACTTTTCAGGAATTTTCGAAAATCTTATTTCTGTACCTTCGGCAGGTTCAAGCTTTGGTAGAAAATCATCACTTTTTTCATCGCATACAAAAAGTTTTGTTCTATTTCTTTTATAAGTTTCTAACGATTGAGGTTTTGAATTGGAATCAGTTGCAGCTTTTTGATTAAAAAATAATAATAATAATAAATCCTTTAATTTATTAGGCTTTTAGAATATTAGAAAATTTTCTTTTACCTTTGAGTTCTAATGCTGAATGAATTCTTCCATTTAATGGAATCATTTTATTAAGTATATCATCTGTAATGTAATTTGATAAATTTTTCCATCTGTTTAAAATTTCATATGGATAAGGCCCTAAATGTCTGTCCATAGATTTTAAATTATCTTTAAGCCTTTCGATTTTTTCTTCATCTTCTTCATCAATTAAAATTTCCTTTTCTTTATCGTATTTTTTCACAATTACTTCTTTCTTTTTAAAATTGTGAAAAAATCCTATTTTCGGCGATTGATCACCGTATGAATTTTCAATACTAAAAGTAATTTGTTTTTGTAATTTCAAATTTTACCGCTTACGATTTGAATACCTTGAAAAAATTTTACCTGTAGTGTATAAAATGTATACCGGGCGGTATCATTTTCATACCGCAAAATTTTTCTGCTGTCGTAAATGATTTGTTGTCGATTCCAAATTCTGATCCATGCGGTAAATTTAAGCAAAAGCAAGTGGCTCCTTCGAAAAATAATGCCTTTGCAACTTCTTGACAAACATCCATTTTTATTTACCGTCACGGCCTGTAAGCAGAAGAAAACGATTTTACTGAACCTGGTGGAAATTTTTGGAACTAAATTTCAAATTCAATTTAACAAACAAAATGTTTTAAAAAATTACAAGCATTTTATTTTTTTTCCTTTAAAACTTTAATAAATCAAATATAAAAATAAAATTATCTAAATGAAATAAACTTTTATGATTAAAAAATTTATTATGATTTAAATTATCATTGGATTAAAATTTATTTTTATAAAAAAATTCGAAAATCTCTAGCATCTATTGGAATGTTGGGATTGATAAAAAAAAAAAAAATAGAAGTAATCTTATTATTTTTCAGAAACCTCATTTCATTATTTTTTACAAATCTAAATAAATAATAAATTTACTAAGCGTTACTATTAATAATATCAAATTTCAGCAACTAACAAAAAAAAAAAACAACTAAATTGCTAGAAATGTTTTTTTTACACCTAAATATCTCAATAACTAAATTACCATCATTATTTTATTAATATTAACAATTGACATTTAGTTTTATTAATTAAATAAAGAATAATAATAACCATAAGAAAATTTTATTAATAACAATTTAATAAAATATTTAAAAATTTAACTTAAGTATAGGGAAAAAAAAAAAAAAAACATTTTTGTCAATTTGGTAACTATTTGTCTTTATATAATTTTTTTTAAATGTTTTTCCTTTTTTTTTTAACAAAACAAAAGTAACATTATTGCATAAAGAGTAAGCAAAATTAGAAAAAAAAAAAAAAAATATACAAAGGTTAATGACAAAGAAATTTAATTAAATTTTTTCAAATAATTAGGAGATCCTTTTTCTTTTTTGGAATTTTTTTCAAATCCTTCTTCTCTCATTCTTAAATTACCTGAAAATGTTTAAAAAATTATTAATTAATTAAAAAATTTTTTTAAACATTATTTTTAATTTTTAACTCACCCAAAGAAGATAATCGGGCTATGCTTTTTGATGTAGGAGTTTCTGGATTAACATCATCATTTAATAAATTATTTTTACTATCAACAGATTCGGGTTGTTTTAAGAAAGTGTCCGTCATGGCTGCTATTAAAACATCTGGAAAAAAAAATTATAATTAAATATCAAAATAAAATAATAATAATAATAATAATAATACTAAATTTTACAAAATTAAATTCTATGCCGAAAAATGTTTTTTTTTTTTTTTTAAATAAACAATTGTGATGGGATAATACAAAATTAATTTATTTTTGATTACCCAATAATTTTCTTTCTAAATTTCTTGATATTTCCCCTTTTTTAACTTCTTTTTCCAGAAAATTAACTAATTTATGCAACGATTTTTGGGCATCTGTATTTTTCACAGTTATACTTTGTGAAAACATTATTTTTGCTAATTTATAAATTATTTCTTCTAATAGATATTCCTTGTACAAGAAGTCGGTCATTTTTATTTTTCCCGATTTTTCATCGTAATTTTCATCGTTTTCATCCACGGTATTAAATCCAATATTTTCGATTGATGATTTCGAATTAACGGAATAAAAATTTTTTATTTTATTATCATTATTATTATTATTATTATCATTGTTTTTTTTTTCTTGTTCATTATTTTTGTCAAAGGTAGTCGTAGGTTGAGCGAGAGATTCGTAAGAATTTTTTTTTACCTTAAAATTAAACATGAGCAATTTCTTTCTCTTTTATCTTACAAATTTTAATTTTATTTTAAAAAAATAAAAAAACAAAAATAACGTTTAAAATAAAATAAAGTTTTGGGTTGGTAGTATTTACTCACCACGTATGATATTTTCTTTTTCAATTTTTGTAAATTTTTATCTCGAGCTTGCATGAAATCCAAATTGAATTTAATTGATTGAAGGAAATTAATGGCTTCTTGCCTCGACATTAAACCTTCTTCCAATAATTCTTCAATCATTAAAGCAACATTTTTTTCATCTCCCGTCCAATATATATATTCAGCCATATCTAACGGACTGTATTCCAATCCACTTTTTCCCTCCGTCTTACCAACCTTAAAAAAAAAAAAAACTCAAGTCGTTATTTCCTTTTAGCATTTTTATTAACCGCCAATTTAATTTACTGTAATTAAAAAAAAACGTATACAATTTTTTCTTTTCCATCCATTCCATTTTCATTTTCATCATCTTTAATTATCACATTATGAATTCCCTTTGATGGTATTTCCAATTCGGTTTTACTAACGGATTTTGGCTTTCCGTTAACGTCACTAATCGTATTAACTTTTTGTTGAATTTTAGCCACAACTTCTCCATTTTTTTCAACTAAATAAAAAAAAAACATTTTTAAATTTTAAATTGGTTCGGCCTTGAAAACTATTATTTTAAAAAAATATATAAATATTTATTTACCTTTATTTTTATAATTTTTATAACTTGATTTTTGACCATTTTTATTAACAAAAAATGAAGTTAAACTCTTGCTAACGGATATGTCATCATTATTCGTTTTAGATGTTTTATCGAGAAAACCTTTTAAATTTTCTAATTCTGTTACTATGTCATCACCAGTCTTTTCTTTTTCTGAAATTATAATAATAAATAAATTAACAGATAATTTTAATGGTTTATTACTATTATTATTAGATAATATATGACTTTTAAATTAATTGTAGAAAAAAAAAAAATTTTAATAAGGATTCAATACGAGGAAGAATATTTTGAAATTTTATAAAAAAAAATTATTTTTCAATTTAAAAATAAAAAGTTGATACTATAGATATATATATTTCATTCAATGTTTAAACATACAAATTTTCAGCATAAATTATTTATTTCCGGTATATGATAGATGTCATAATATGTATGATTAATTGTGTCCTCAAAAACGTTAACAACTCTAACACCAGATTTATCATTCCCAAGCTGTCCTCCTACAGCAGAGGTAACAGCTACATCAATATTATCATAAATTCCTCCACCATTTCTATGATAATGTCCACAGAAAATAGCTTTTACACCTGCTTTTTTAAATTTCTTTAACCATTTTCTTCTAACTGATGAATTTATATTAAAATATTGATCTTCTTCGTCAAATTTTTTTAAAAACCATGGCACATGTTGAAACACTATAATCCTTCTATAAAATACATATTTCATTTATTTTTTAATAAAAATTCATAAAAGGGAAACATAAAAGGCCATGGTTAATAATTTGATATTCATAATTAATTGATTTTTACAATTCTAACCCTCTCTAATTTTAAAAATAAATAATTTAAAAAATCAATTTTTGTTGTTGTCTGTTTATCAATTTAACTAAACAAAAATTATTAACATACTTCTTATTAGCTTCTTTTAATTTTTCCTCAATCCATTTTTCTTGTTTTTCAGCCAAATCTGGCACATGTGCTGAATCGACAAAGTATTGACTGTTAATTACAAGAAATAATATACCTCCACACCAAAAATAATAGTAATCATCACCGAAAGAACTATTATACCTGTAAAATTCTATGCATTTAAATGGGGGACCATTTAGTGTCAATATTTTAACATGACAATTATTGTGACATGTTTGAAAAACTTACAATTTCATTGTTTCTCTAGTTGGAGAATTCCCAACATCATGATTACCACAAACGCAAACTAACGGTATATCTTTATCTAACTTTTGAAAAACTTTTTTAAAATCACTTTCCTGTTTTTTCCTAAGTAAAAAATCATTATTTGGCATCTCGTCACACAAATCCCCACACATAACAAAAAATTTTGGTTTGGGCCTCATTTTATTAACTCTTTTTATAACATTTTCAGTTAATTCAATTTCTTTTTCCCACGTCACAATTTTATTATTATCTAATTCTCTTGCGATAAAACCAAATTGAGTATCTGCTCCTTGTATAAAATAAAAGGGTTCTTTCCATTGTTTTTCTTTTTCCTCATTAAAATATTTATATTGTTTACCCTCGACAAAATAATTATTTAAATTCATTTTTTTTTTTTTTTTTTTTTTAAATTTATTTATTTAATAATTGGTGATTGTTTTTGTAAAGATACTTTTAATTTTAAATAAATTTTTCTCTAGAAACAATTAAGATTTATTTTAAACGATCCACTTGCCACAAAATTTAATAATATATTTTTGAATAATTATACGATAAGAGTTCTTAGTTAATCCCACTTGTTGATGAAATTTAAAAAGAGTAATTCAATGCTGCCAACATTATTTTTCAACCGTAAAAAAATTACTAAGCTTTAAAAGTAATATGGTTTTAAATTATGATCTCAACTATAAAAAAAAATCTTTCAAAGCTCAAACCTTTTTCTAAATATTATTATTTCTTTGCAATCCAGCTGCTTTTATACCAAAAAAAAAAGCTCTTTAAATTAAGCTTTCAAGCTTTAATATTTCATTAAGGTTTTATTATTATTATTATTATTAAAACCATTTATTATGATTTCTAATCATCATCTTCATTTTTTTTTCTTTCTTTTCCATACATAATAATTTAAGTAAAATTGCATTATTAATGAAATTTAATAATAAAAAATTATTTTAATTATTATTTTGTTAAACTAATAAAGAAAAAATTATTAATATATATGTACATGATTCAAATTTATCTCTACTTATTCCCCCTCCCCCCCATCTTTTGCAAACTCCATTTTGTTTTTAAAAAGAAAATAAATCAATTTAATTTAAATTTAAATCAAATAAATTTATTTATAAATTGAATTGTGTTTGGTGGAAAACCTTTATAAGAAATATTTTAAAATAACTAAAATATAATCTTTTATTTCACTCCATTAAATTTCTTAATTTTTTTTTTTTTTTTTGCAAAAGGTTAAATATAACTTAAATCAATAATTTTAAATCCAAACTTTTCTATTTTCTTTTTTTAAAAAAATCAATTTTGATATCGTCAAAGCACGAAAATAAATAAAAAGGTCACAGATTAATTTAACTAATGTAAAAACATTTAAAAAAAAAAAATTTTAAATATCAAGAATTAAGAAAAATATAAAAATCTTTAAGGGTTTAAATATTCATATTAAAAAAAAATGGGGGCAAGGGGAAGGGGAATAAAATAAATTTCCTTTTGTTATTTTATTGATGATATTTTTTATATATATTTATATGAAATAGATAAAAATTTATTATATTTACAAAAGTGATGATAAATAATATTAAAAAAAAAGAGAGAGAGAGAGAGAGAGAGAGAGAGAGAGAGAGAGATAGATGATAATGTTTTGTTATAACATTTTTATTGACTATTAAACTTTAATTTTCTTTCATTTAAATTTTTTTTTTTTTTTGATAAGAAAAACCTTAAGAAAATTTTAATATTTTTTTTTTTTCAAATAATGGGAAAATATACTTTTATAAACCACCCCCTCCTCTCCCCTCCCCCCCACATTTTTTTCTACAATTTTTTTTTTTTTATAAAATGATAAAAGGATTAAAATTAAAAAATGGTAAAGTTTTTATAAACTTTTTCTTTTCTTTTTTTTTTTTAATTAAAAATTGAAGTGAAATTATTATTATTATTATTAATTTTTTAATTAAAAAAAAAAAAGAAGAAAAGATGCATGTGAGAGATGTAAAAAAAAAAATTTTTTTTTTGTTAAATTTTTATTAAAAAAAAAAAAAAAAACTTACCATTTTTTAAAGGCGCCGCATCGACAAAACTTTTCTCATGATCTAAAACAATTGATAATATGATAAATGCTATCAATAACTTCCATTCCATATTTATTATCAATGAATGATGTTAATTATCCTGTAATAAATTAAATAATTATTATTATTATTTATTTATAAGAGGGAAAAAGGAGAAAGAGAGAGAGAGAGACACACACAAAAACCAATTTTTCATTTTTTTTTTTTCTGTTTTTAATTTAAAATTTTTCCCTTTTCTCCTTTTCCAAAAAAAAAAAAAAAAAAACAAAATTAATTGATCTACTATATTTAAGGGTGTAAAATACAATATTATTATTATTATTATCATCATTATTATTGTTATTATCACCCTAATTAAATATTTTTTTTAAAAATGAATTTAACATGTAGCCAAAATTTTGTGTCAGATATAATTTTTTTTTACTTGTTAAACAATATATTTTATTATCATTATCAATTTATTGTAAACTTTAATAATACATAATAAAAAGTGTGTGATTAATAACATTCCCACATTAATAATTTATTTTATTTTAATAAAAATATAATAATAATCTTACCTATTTATTTTAAAATACCGTTCCAGGCACACAAATTAAAGATGATTGATTTATTAACAAATTAATAAATTTGTTAAATAATAATAATAATAATAATAATAATAATGAGGCAAAAATGAAGACACTAAAAAAAAAAATTTATTGTATTTTACTAAGCAATTTCCGAACGGATTTTGCTTCAAGTGGTTGTAGCAAAATTGGTTTAAGGGAAAAACTGACGTCACGGGAATGAATTCAAAAAGAAAAAACGGGTCAGGGGAAAAAAGGAACAATTGTATTTTGTCTAATAATTTTATTTTTTTTTTTTTCCACGAGGTTCTTAAGGAAATTCTTCGATAGGTTTTTCTTTTACGGTTAGTGTGATAATAATAATGACGTTTTTTTTGTTAAATTTGTAAAATTTAATCAAAATCATTATTATTATTATTAATAATAATAATAAATGAGGAAGGTTTTGGTAAATTAATATTTCATTTTTCAACGTTAATTTTTGGGGGGGTAAAATCCTTTTTACACATAACGAAAAAAGGTCTTGCGCAAAATAATATTTGCCAACATTTTTGAAAAAATTTTTTTTCTTTAAATCTATAAATAAAGTCAATTTACTGGAAAAATAATTATCGATTATTATTAACTGGGACAAATTTTATTACGTTTCTTTTTTTCTTTTTTTTCGTGCAAGCACGAAAAGGCGTAAAATTAAATTAAATATATATATGGCAACTAATTAAATATATATTCCCACTCTAATATCTGGAATTTTGCGACAAAAAAAATTGCTCTCTACACACACACACACACACACACACACAAGAAAAAAAAAAATTAAATTTTCTAAAGATGTAAAAAAATTTTGAATTGACTTTAATATAAATTTTTATTGATGGTAAAAAAAAAGTATTCAAAATTGATTTTTAAAAAGATGGAAAAACTATCCTTCTTATTCAACGTTGAATGAAATATTAAAATACACAAAAGAGGGTCTAAAGGTATAAGTATCGAGTGTGGGAAATGTTTATAATCTGTTGTCGTTGGGATTGGAGGTTTGATCGAAAGAAGAAACTTATCCATGTTGATTATTAATAGGATTAAGTAGGTCAGTATAAAACTTTAAAAATTATACAAAAATGATTTAATGTACTCTTTAATTATGTAAAATGTTTCATCGTTTTCTTCTAAGTTGAAGAGTGTTTCTCCTTCTCCAAGCAGCCTTTCTAGAGCCACCAATTGTTTGAGAGTACAAATGACCTTTTCCAAGGCCACGTGATTTTCTACCAGCTGATGTTTTACCCCGCAATTCACGGTGTTTGTGAACAGCATTGCATATCCAGTTAGCTTTAGCATCGCGACGAATGGCTTTGTGAGCGGGATCAACCAAAATAACTTCATAGTATTTATATGTAGAATCTTGGGCGACCCAATATGAATTTAATACTCTTAAGCCACCACACCTTCTACCGACTCTTTCCTAAAATAAAAACTTTTCGTTTAAGGAATAATAACAATAAAATTACAAAAAGAGTGAAGTATAAAATTTTTATCAGACATCCAAGGAAGATAAAAAATCATTATTTATCAATGTGAAATAAAATAATATCATCATAGTAATTAATAAATTATAAGAACAAAAAAAATTAAAATTTCTACATACCTCAGCCACAGATTGAAGACCTCTGGTAGGTTTCAATTGATTAACTCCATGACTTTTGGGTTTACCATAAGTAGCACCCTTTGGTACAGGACGTTTTCTTCCTCCTCTTCGTACTCGAACGCGGAAAATTACATAACCTATAAAAATTACACAGATGTGAGCATTTGACTGCGACAATATTTTTTTAATTCATGCTTCGAATTAATTACAAACTTACCTTGCTTAGCTCTGTAACCAAGTCTTCGAGCTTTATCTGGACGAGAAGGTCTAGGAGCTCTGTGAAGTTTTGTCATTTGTCTATATTGCCAGCATCTTATACGAAGCAAATATCGCATAACATCACTCTGTTTTTTTCTATAAAGCTCTTGAATATATTTATAAGCCCCCATTTCGAATTTAATAGGGGCTCCCTTGAAAAAAAAAAAAAAAAAAAAAGAAAAATTATTTTTTAAAGAAAAGAAAACAACTTTTTTAAAAAGGGGAATAGAAAAAGAAAAAATCAGAAAATCATAATCCTCAATTATTGGATGTAAACCCATAGGAGTGGTGCATGAACAATTCATCATGTGTTAAATATAAATTAAATAAACAAACAAATAATTAAAAAAATAAATAAATTAATATTAATAGAAATACATTTTTATTTTTAATTACCGTAAAAATAACAGATGGATGGTAATTAAAACGATTAAAATTAGAAATAAAAAAAATTTTAAGTTCTTACCAAGTAACGACAACGTAGGAATCTTGTAGGGCCTTGACAAACATGTTTACAATTTTAAACCTGAGTTGACTACTGCTACCACATTTTATTAGGGCCTTATAAAAAAAAAATTTTTTTTTCTGCAGTTGGCAATTCGTAACGTTTGAGATATTTAATCAGTTTAATGATAAAACTTTATTTCCTTTAAAATGTCAAAGTGCACTTTATCAGCATTTTTTTTTTCAAAACAACATTTTAAAAAAAAATTTAGAGAAAATTTACAAAAAAAAAAAAAGAAAGAAATTATTGGGTTATAATTTGAATGAAACAATTAATAAAACTTATAAATTTTAAATTTTATTTAACAAACTCTAACTACCAGCTAAATATATTTCTCACACTTATAAAGAATATTATACAATTCCTTGCGTTACTTATATATTATTGACATTACATGGCTTTTTTTTTTTTTTTATGAAATATAAACGTTTAAAACTATGAAAATGTCTTTTCATTTTTTTAAAACTTTTTTTTTTTTAGCTTACGAATTACCTTCAACTCTCAAAAAAAAAAATTGTAAATGCTCACTAGTAACTGTTTTTTTTTTTTTTTTTTCAAAAATAAGATCCAGGCTTTTTAAAATTCATGTTGTTAAAATTTTTTTTTTTTTGCCAACTTCCATATTTTCAAATAATTTAAATTTAAATTCTAATTTGAAAAATAATATTAATAAGGTAATAATGGTTTGAAAATTATAAAGAAATATTAAAAACTATTTTTTTTATTTAGAAGTTGACAAAAAATTTTCACAAAAATTCAATGATGTATAAATAAGTGAAATAATAAAAAAAAAAAAAAAAAAAAAAAAAAAAAAAAATTAGCAGAATTATTCAAAAGTGAAAATTTTGTTTTTTTTTTTCTTTTTCTTTCTTTTCTTTTTTTTTTTTTTTTTTCGTGTTCACATTATATACAACTTTTTTTTATTTTAAAACTATTTTTATTTTTTATTTTTTTTTTCCTTCTTTCTTTTCATCTACATAAGTTTCTGTTTTAGTTGCTGTTTCACAAATTATTATTATCATCATCATAATTATAAATTAATTAATATTGTGAAAATGGACTAAAAGCAACTCGTAATAATAGCAAGACTTGCAAAATGTCACTCTGATACATCATCTTCCAAACATGAATACTTGTTTGTGCCAATGTAATTCTAAAATAAACAAAAAAAAAAAAGAGGAAAAGTTAAAAATTAATAAGAAGAAGAAGAAGAAAAAATGATAAAGTTAAACATTTCAATTATTTATCTTACGGGTGCAACTGCCTCCTTATATTTTGGTAATCTCATCCCTTCTTCACTCTTTTTAACATCTTTAGGTCGATCCTTGTGTTGTGGCCCTTTATCACGATCCTGATTGCTTTTTATTTGACGAGATCCTTTATCGCCTACCACGGGACCACCGCGTTTATCTCCTTTTTGCGATTTACTTCCGCCGTGGTCATCTTGGTCTTTGTAACGACCATTATCTCGATCCTGCAATCAATATATTTCAAACTGCACTTCCCCCAGTATTTAACATTTAGAAAATAATCAAAAGTAAAGTTCTCTGACCTGATTTCTTTTACTCTCCCCCTCCTTCTCATTGGGTTTATCCCTCCAATCGATATCTTTTTCGTTATAACGCCTCGATTCAGTTTCTCCTTCGTAACGTTTAGAATCTCCGTCTCTGTTATTCCGTCTGGAGTCATTTTCTTTATCATTGCGTCGGGAATCACTATCCCTATCGTCTCGTCGAGAATCATTATCTCTATCATACCGTTTCGAATCACCATCTCTATCGTAACGCTTCGAATCACCATCTCTATCGTAACGTTTCGAATCTCCATCTCGGTCGTACCGTCTAGAATCTCCATCTCTGTCGTACCTCCTAGAATCATTGTCTCTGTCGTACCGCCTAGAATCTCCATCTCTGTCGTACCGCCTGGAATCTCCGTCTCTATCGTATCGTCTCGAATCACCGTCTCTATCGTACCGTCGAGAGTCACCGTCTCTATCGTACCGTCTTGAATCACCGTCTCTATCGTAACGTCTCGAATCACCATCTCTATCGTACCGCCTGGAATCTCCATCCCTGTCGTACCGCCTGGAATCTCCATCCCTATCGTATCGCCTCGAGTCTCCATCCCTATCATAACGTCTTGAATCTCCATCTCTGTCATAGCGTCTCGAGTCGCCATCTCTGTCACGCGGTCTTCCAGAACCGGCTCCGCTTCGTCTATCGAAATCGTAGCCTCTGTCACGACGATCTACGTCTCTTCTGTCTCTCGTGTCTCTTCTATCCCTATCATCTCTCCATCTATCATCCCGACCACCACCGTAGGATTTATCTCCATCTCTACTTCTTTCATTGTAACGATTTTCGGTTTTGAATGAACGAGTGTATCGCGAATCATTTTCACGATCGCGATCGCTTTCAAGATCTTCATTTTTTTTCGTGTTTTCCAATCGTGATGAATCATCTTCCTCTTCGTTTTCTTTTTTCTCTGATGATTCTTTTTCACGTTCGTCTGAATCATTCGTTTTATTGCAACTAGAATCCTTAAAATTAAAAATTTAAATAAAGTAAATAAAATTTTTAATGAATTAAATATATGTATATGAAGATATGTAAAAAGACGTACTCTTGAGGTAACATTTGGAGTATCCAGTCTCTGTGATTTTTTAACCCAAACATTTTCTTTTGAGTCAGGCGGTACAGGACGACTTGATTCACTGTTAGACTCAGCTTCATTACTTTCTACAATACAATTACAAAATATTAAAAAATTAATGTAAATAAATCCATACATATATATATATATACATTTTTTAAAAGAAAATTCATACTTAGTTTTTGTTTATCCTGATCTATTTCACTTTTAGCTTCTTCTCTTTCCCTTTCAAGTCTTTGCTCAATTTCACGTTCCCTCGCCGACGTATCCACCGGTTTAGCTTGACCAAAAATGTTGGGTGCCGGTGGTTTTTCTTGCTCTGATGGTTCTTCTGCTTTTGGGGCTGGATCTATTAATCAATATTTCAACTTTGTCAAACTTTAATCATTTTTTTTTTTTCGTTTAAAATAATTCAGGAAATAAAATTAACCTTCTTTAGAGACATTTTCCTCTATTGGCACTGTCCTAGGTTTTAATATTAATTTTGTACGTGTTTTGGGTTTTGAGTACTCGCTGTCGTCGTAATTTCGACGATTTCCATATCCTCTGCTCTCACGGTCCGAATTGTATCTATAAAAATCCAGATAAGAAAAAACAACAAAGATAAAAATAAAAAACTTTAAAGATAAATTAATAAAATATAAATTTACAAATTGTGTCATTATGTTATTTTACCTTCTATCATTGTCTCTCCAATTAGAGTCTCCACCCTTATCTCTGTCATAATTGTCTCTGTCCCTAAAACCACCATAATCTTTTCGTCCAGACCCATATCTATCATCGTTACTGGAAAATTCTGACCTGAAAAAAATTGAAATCGATACAATAAATTTTTCCAAGAACTTATAATTTAAAATCGAATTAAAATTTTAATTTTTTTCAAACTTTCTATTTACCTAGGCCCTGATCTCCAATCTCCTGAGGTTCTTTCAGAATCATAATTAGAATCACGATCACGGGTATCTCTAGGGCCTCCACGTCGTCTTTCTCCTTCACCTTCAGCCAAATCAATTTTAATTCGCCTTCCTTTGATGGTCTAAAAAAACATTGTATTTTTAATTTTTTCATATAAATATACAGCAAACCTTGTTTTTAGCCATAAATTATGTTTGACAAAAAAAGACAAGATTTGATATTTCTTTATTAAGTTGTTAATTATACAGAAATAAATTAAAACCTATGTTAATAAAAAAACTATGGAAAACAAATACAAACTTACAGCTTCATATTTCAGTAAAGCTGAAATAAATGAATCTCTGTCACCAAATTCTACGTATCCAAAGCCCTTAAGTTTTCCACTTCTATCATCTCTTGGAAGACGCACATTGGTAACCTAAAATAACCATTTTAAGATAACATAAAGATAAATTATTAAGTTTTCATTAAAGTACAAAATTAATGAAAAATTAATCAAATTTTAAAAAAACTGAACATGAATTAGAAATCAATACATACATTAAGGCCCTCAAATGCATTTAAAATATCTGCATCTTGCAGCTCATAAGCCAAGTTTGACACGAATGCCACATAAGGGGGACTTTTAGGAATTTTACTTTCATCTATTTCCAAAGCTGCTCTCGGAGCGGCAGGCAATGCAGGCTTTCTGTTAAATTCACCCAATTTGTCTGCTTCATCGACTTGATCACCCCATGACATAGATGAATAAGAAAAAAAGTTGCTGAGGGGTACAGTTTTACCCTTCCCTTTTTTGTTTTTACCCTTTTTACCTGGAATTTAAAAAATAATTTAGCTTGTAATAAAATAATATTCGAGTTCGAGTCATACGAGAAATTTACACTGTGGTCAATTATAAATTTGATTCCCAATGCAAATAATATAAATCTTACGCAGGTAAGCATTTAAAATTAATTGTATTTTCCTATCAAAAATTGGCCACGCGGTTTTGATCTATTTAAAAATAATTGCCAGGTGGCAGTTCTAAAGTTTAATCCCATTTGATTAAATCAGAATCAATTGGTTATATTTAACACATAAGGAAAACACTTGCAAAAATGCTACAGTGTTGAGGTGTATTTTCTTTTAAATTATCACTTACATAAATTTAATATATAAGTAATTAAAACAATACTAACCTGTAGATGCCATTTTAACTATCACTTACCAACAAGTTAGTAAACCATTGAAAAAAAGTGAATAAGGCCCCAAAAAGTATAAATCCAATGAGTTGTATCAATTGCCTTAACCATAATAATATGTCAAATTGTTTTTAGTTAGACGAAAATTTCTCATGCGTATTAAATACAAAATGGACAATACGTTTCAAGCCCAGTATACGGCATTAAAAATTTTAAGGCAAAGGTGTGAATATTTGCAACAGAGGTTAGAATCATTGGAGGAGGAAAATTGTCAATTAAAATTACAAAAAATTACGGTAGATATTTCAGGGAAAAAAACGTCGGATAATAATATTTTAGAAGAACAAATAATTACTTTAAATAAAGAAAATTGTAAAATGTCCCGACAAATACAATTAATTACCATTGAAAATCAAAATTTATGGTCACAGTTATCTAAGTTAATATCTGGAAGTGACAATTTGGGGACAATGTTATCAGTGTCCGCTATGTCAAGTTCTAACAAAAATGAAAAATTTAATGATGAAAAAAAAGAAATTGTTAGTAAGTCGGAAGAAAATGTTTCAGATGATTGCAGTAAAGAAAGTTTAGAAGAAATATCGTTAAAATTAATTAATGGGATTCTTATGGGAAAAACAGAATTAGAAAGTCAATATTCTCAAATGATAGATTTGCAAAAAGAAAATTCAATATCGGAAACTAAAAATTACCCTTCGATGCCTTCTCAATTTGATAGTAACAGAGCATTAAATATAATGAAAATTTCCATACAAAATTTAAAAGATTTTAAAGAAACATTATCGCAGCAAAAAATAGATTTAAAAAAAGCAATAGATTGTGTTAAAAATTTACCCACAGATTTTGCTCAAAAAAACATGGATACAGGTAGTAATAATAAAATGGAATCTTTATATGATTATAATGAGAGAGACCTTTTGCAAGATATTGAAAATTCGGATGGAGGAAATAATTTGGAAAATGACAAAATTTGCCCCATGTGTGGTAAACATTTTACTGGGAATTTCAGTAACTTTTTTCAACATGTTAACATTCACTTTGAAGATGGAAATGAAGAATTTATCAGTGAAAATTACAATTTTATGTCTTGATAATAATGATATTAAATAATTAATTTTTTTATTACATATTAGTTTTTTCCAATACATATATATATTGTTGACCACATTTATCAGATTTTAAGCAATTAAAAATAGTTATAAATTAATAATAATACTTTTTATAACAAATTCGATTCTCTTGAAAAAAAAATTAAAATAAAAACTTTTATTATCGAGTATTCGCTAAAAATAATTCATTTTTTCTTTTACTTTCGATAAGTACTTATTAAATTTATTAAACTATGAACTAAATGATATTAAAAGAAGGAAAAAATTAATTTATAAAGGTTGTTAATAATAATAATTGTTGTTGTTATTCCTAAAAGAAATTAAAATGGTGTATATGCACGTTTAAAAAATAAATTAAAAATAAAAATAATGATGATATTTCAAATAAAATTTTTATCGAATATTACAAAAGAAACAATCAATGTTAATAAAGTATATTTTTTTTAAATTTTAATAATTTATTGTGATTATTTAAAAAAAAAAAAAAATCAGTTTTCATTATAGAAGACTGAGAAATAAATATACAGTATAACATTACTTTTTGTAAATTGCAGGCTTGATTCGATTCGATGAAAAAAAAAAAAATTATTAATAGATAGGTTAGGTTTTCGACTGAAATTAATTAATTTGTATATTTGATTAAATTTTAAAATAATTTGTTTAAAGATACTTAAATATATATTTATATTTTAAATTTTTGACTATTTTTAGTAAGCAATAAAAAATTAATAATTAAAATTATTCATTTTATTTGAGGAATTATCTCGACATCAGTACTAATCGATTCCTTATGAGTGGATTTTTGCAATAAATTATCACAAAATATTTTTGGCCTTGGTTTATCCATTTCTACAATTCTTTTACCCTGTAATCAATGAGTAATAAATTATCACAATTTGCAAATGTTTTCATGTTTTACTTTAAAATTCAAATTAATTGTATTTACAAAAAAAAAAAATTTTTTTTAAATAAATATATCATTATTATGCAATAATTATAAAATGTCTACATCTTATTATTTCATATGGTTGATCATTTAAATAATTCAAAATAATAATTAACTACTTATAAATAAACTAGTAATAATTTTTGTATTGCTATTAAAACTTTAAAAAAACGAAGAATGCCCAATTAAATTATGCTCGAGTCCAATACCCATAGTTTTTAAATCGACAGAGAAATTAAGAAAATGTTAAATAAATAGTAAATAAAAGCTAAAAGAGTTCTTACCTTAAAATATTCTTTCGATTTATCATCATCTTGATATAAGACAACAACTTCTTCTTCTACAGGGGATAAACCTAAATTTTTAGCAATAACTTCTTGCATTTCTTTCGTTTCTGCCATAACTCGACTGTAACATGTTGGACAAATCACTCCTGCTTCGTGAAATGAACCACATTTTTTACATGTTAATATATTTGTTTTTGGTACAAGCATTTTATAATGAAGCTCAGGTATGCCAAATCTTCTGCATTTTCTTCTTTCCAACGACCTTCTTTTTTTCGGTACAGCCAAAAGTATAGATACATCAAATATCTCTCTTAAACTTGGTTGTGCCGTTTTTTTTTCCATCGAATGAGGTAAATTTATCATTGCGGGAACAAAACATTCTGAAAAAGAAGAAAAAAAAATTCTAACCTATAAGCAAAATTTAATAATGAAAAACAAAAAAAAAAAACCTCGGAATCAAAAAGCTTCGGGGATCGAAATATAAAATTAAATCTTTTACTATCTTTTCAGAGTATTGCTTACCCGGCAAAAAAAAATTATTAAAGGTATTTGTGATATTATTATGAAAAGCTTTGATAAAATTAATAGCATGTCTTATGGTGGACGCCATTTTTATGTTTGTTTTTTTTTTTTAAATAAAATAATTTACACCAGAGCTTTAAATAAATTTAATAATGTATATTTTTATTTTTACTTATTTAATTAAAAAGATACATTACTGTAGACTTAAGTATATAATTATAATTGTGATTAAAAATCAAAAAAATTAAGAAAAAAAAATGCTTTTTTTAAATCTAAAATCTTTAATGGAACTTTAGGACAAATAATGTCGACAATCATACAATTTCCATAAATTTATATGTAAAATGATAGTTAAATGTTTTAAATTTTAACTCGTCATTACAATCGATTAATAATAATAATAATAAAAACAAGGTAAAATAACAAAAAAAAATAAGAAACGAAAGAAGCTTTTTGTAGAGCGTAAAAAGAAATTACACCAAGCTTACTTTGTGATTGGTGTAAACGAGTTATTATAAAAAAAAAAAAATGTCGTCTGCTTGAATATTTATCCGCGATATGTTCCAGTACGGAGATAGAAAATTAAATTTCATAGTAGTGTATAAAATGGCGTGCCTAGGTACGGGTCGGCTCTGTGCGAGAGTCGAAAAACTTTGTAGCCTCGGAAGAAACGGTCCAGTAAAACGTAAAAATTTTAATTTTATGACAGATATTGCTACCAGTAATAATCCATCAAAAATCAGTTTTCAAATTTTCCAGGTAAGATTTTGTGTTTTTTTTTTATGTTTTTTTTTTTTTACCTTATTTTAAATTTGACAAACTTACTGACACAGTGACATTATTATGAAATTCAAATTTGAATTCCGCTTGAGATTGTTATTATTTTATCATTGAATCCGGTTTTCGAGTTGTTGTTTTTTATAAAAATTTCCCAATTATTTTATATTACATTATCCTTATTAAATAATAACTGGGTTTTATATCACCCACCCCCCCGTCATATATCAGAAAAAATAATTTTGTTTTTTCCCTCCTCATTTTTATGCCATCATGAATGTTTATTATTATTATTTTGAATTGAAAATTTTGTATTGTGATAAAATAATGCTTCTGACGTGGCCTATTTACATGCAAGCTCGGCCCTTTCCCGAGCATAAAATTTTAACGACACTTTTTACTAACGAAAGACCGTTACAAAAAAAACGTGATATCAGAAATATGAAATTCCCGCCATTATTATTATTATTACTATTATTTTCAAACGAATTTTATTACTTATTATTATTATTATTTTTTTAAAAACAGTTTTTTTTTTTTTTTTTATCACGATTTTATTGTTTTATTGATAATGGGATCGTTTAGAAAAAATTTATCACGTTAAAGAAAGGCAAAAATTCATTTTTTAAATTTAAATTTTCGAAAAAAAAAATTAATTGATAAAACGATTATGCAATTGGAAAATTTAAAATCACGTTGATAAATTGTTTGGGGGGTTCCCCCCAAAACAAAACAAAAAAAAAAAAATGTAATTACGATTAATTAGTTGATTCGGGTAAAAAAAAAAAAAAAAAAAAAAAAAAATTTTTTTTGCTTGTCGTTAATAATAAAAACAATTAATAAAATGTCGTTTATGTTTTCTACCCCCCCCCGCCTCTCCGATAAAATAAAATTTTCGATTAAATATTAGAAAAAAAAATTTGTCGAGAGAGAGAGAGAGAGAGAGAGAGAGAGAGAAAATGAATGTGAGAGAGTAAAAGTTGAAAAAGAAAAAAAACGCGTGAAAGTTTTTTTTTTTTTTTCTCCATACACATTTCCAGTCGTTAAAGTTTACTGGCTGCCATTTTATTATAAACTCTTACTTTGTTTGAAATCTTCATTTTTTTTTTTTTTTCGTCATGAGTGATGAAATTTATTTAAATATTTTTAATTTTTTTACACGTTTGTCCAAAATTTTTCTTTTTCCCTCTCTCCCCTCCGATTTTTATTATTTTTTATTAATATTTATTCTCCTCCTCCTCCTCCCCCCACGAAAAAAAATTAAAAATTCGGTGAAAATATTTGATATTTTTTTTTGTTTTGTTTTCGCATCATCGCATCGAGCCGCCACTGATGTTGAGAAAGTGGTTTCTTGTAACTTTTTTTTTCTTTTTTTTTTTTTTTTTTTTTTTTTATGGTAAAAAATTTCATTTTATTTATGTGGCGACGACGACGACTTGATTTTATTTAAAACACGCTTATAAAAAAGAAAAAAAAAAAACAAAAAAAAAAAAATTTTTTTAAATGCAAAACTCACACACACACACAATTCACATACGGATGTAGGTAACTAAGAAAAATTTACACGACGAAATTATTATTATTATCATTTATTTAAATTCACCAAAGAGACACATTAATTAATAATAATAATAATAATAATAATAATTTTAAACTACTTTTATAATAATAATTATCAATGAGTTTATATGCCAAATTCGAAAGTAAATTTTTTTTTCTATTTTTTTTTTTTTTCGATCGAACGTTGTTGCTACGTTTTATCGTGATAATAATAATAATAATAATGATCGAGTGAAGGTATCGAAAATTTTTTATATACAAATTTATCTTATATAACAACAACAACAACAACCTGAACCTAACAGAACCTGAATTTAATAAAAAAAAAAAAAAAAAAGACAAAATTTAATTTAATAAAAAAAAAAAGAAAAAGGAAAAATTATGCATTTTTTTTTAAATAATTGAACGATTAAAAATTTTTTTATTCGTTGCATTTTTATCATCATTATTATTATCATCATTATTATTATTATTTTCCTTCCTAAATTAAATGCAAATTTAACGACGAATGGAAATTTACTAGGCATAAAAAAAAAAAAAAAAAAAATATCACTTCGGGTATAATAAATTTTCGCAATGAATTAGTTTAAAAAAAAAAAAAAAAAAATTCGGCCTCTAATTAAATAATAATAATAATAATAATAAGTTTACGAAAGAAAGGAAAAGCGGGAGGTAGAGGGATGGGTAGGGGGAAGGGAGGGAATTTTTTTTATTATTATTTTTCGAGTACGCAACGCCACTGAATATTTTCACCTGTACGCAACAGGTACATAGGAGAGAATTCTGGTTGCAAGTGTGAAAGTGTGTGCAGCGGTTCGTAATTGAACATGTGCTTAGGCAAACAACGTTTATTGATTCCTACCTAAATTCATTCATTACTTTCATTTAATTATTTTTTATATTAAAAAAAAAAGGAAAACTTATTAAAAATGTCCATGTTGTTGTTGTTGTTACTCGTCACAACCAACCAATCATTTCACATCCATTCGTTTTATTATTATTATTATTATTATTTTGGCAAATTCTTCGGAATAGTTTCTAAAAAAAAAAAGCGAATACTAACACGTTTGTAATAAATTTTTCTTTTCTTTCTTTTCTTTTCTTTTCTTTTTTGGGTAACAAACGTTCAAATAATAATAATAATAAGAAAAAGAACCCGGAAGTTATAATTTTACTCGTTCGAATTTTCTAAATACCGTTAAAAAATAATTTTTACATCACATCCGGTTTTAATATTTAATTACGAACCTTTTTTTAATTTTTTCCTCTCGAAAAAAAAAGGTTTTTGTAAATATTTATAAAAACAAAAATTTAAAATAATTTAAAAAAAGAAAAAAACCGTTATGAATAATTTCAAAATGGAATTTCCTATTGACTAAAATATAATTTTATTTATTATTAACTCGAAAAAGGGAAAATTAGAAAGCTAAAAAATTTTTTATTATTTCCAGAATAAAATAGGGTCATTAATCGGATATTTAAAGAAATTCAATTTTTATTTTTTTCTTTCTGTCATTGATTTAATAATAATAATAATAATAATAATAATAATAATAATGGCACATGAAAACAATGAAGAAAAATTTTACAATTCTACTACGTCATAAATATATAAATAAATAAATACCAAGACAAATATTTAATATGGCGACCGAACATATTTAATATATATTATTTTTAATTCGTTTCTCTTTATTAAATTTCTAATTAAATAAAATTTTTACAACTTTATAATTATTCATCAATTAACAATAATAATAATAATAATATTGATAGGATTTAAATATAAATCTATTTATATTATAACGGATTATATTTTTATAATATAAATGAATGAATGAATGTTTTAATAGAAATTTTGTTTTATTTTTAATTATGAATATTGACTGACATTTTTAAATAAAAAAAAAATTTCTAAATAATTATTTTATTTTACGACACACACACACTCACACATCCGGGTTTTTACTATTTATCGATAATAATAATAATAATTAAATGATGATTAATCGAAGGGGGAGGAGGAGGGAAGGGAAGGGGAAAAAATTTTCAACTCGTTTAGTATATATTTACTTATTTTTTGTTTTTTGGAATTTCCAAAATTTGTCGTAATGATAAAATTTCCAACGGAATTTACATATATTTATTGTTTAAAATAATAATAATAATAATAATAATAATAATAATGATTAATGCACTCTTGTTTGTTTCGTCAATTTGTCAAATAAAAACCCGTGAAAATTTTAAAAATATTTTGTGAGGATTAGAATTTAAAAAAAAAAAAAATGAATGCTCGATGCATCGAGTAGAAATAATTTTTTTTTTTTTTTAAATTAATCAATAGAATAAATAATACAATGATGATGATGATGATGATTAATTATAACGTGAAAGTTGTTTTTATTTATTTATTTATTATCGACCATTAAAAAACAATCGATGATGTGCTTTTTCTATGTATTAATAAACTATTTGCATAACTAATAAAAATAAGGCGACGAGCA